AAGTTTACGATGTACGTATGTTCTTTCCCCGATGCTCAGTTGCGATCTACCTGCTCACGCTGCACGTCCAAAACCACTTTGGACTCAGTGGCGCTGGTTGGACTCGTCGATCTGGAAGAATAGGAGGAACTCTCCTTTTTTGCACATGCGCAGTAAGAGATGTTCTGGTAAATCGGCCGTTAGCTCTGCTTCAACAGCAGGATTTACCCAACAACACCTGGCGAGACCCAATGAATTTGAAACATATTTGATTTTCTCCCGACCTTATGATTCCTGAACAGGAGGTGGTCATGAGAGGCTGATCGCCCCTCATTACCCTCTGTACTCTACACGATGCAGGACGCACCATGAGGCTGAAAGTCGCCCCGATCCAAATACTTCCTGTACAATTGGAGAATCGGCCCCAAAAAGGCCAAACCCTCATACAATGTATGCCCGGCCTCAGAACACACCGAGACCAGATTTCCTTCATAAAACGTCAGTGACATCATCAATGACCCCTCACCCCCCCACCATGGACTGTTCTCCCTGCTGCCCTCTGGGAAGAGGCTTCCCAGCATTCAATGCAGGACCAGCAGGTTCTGCAGCAGCTTCTTCCCCACCGCCATCACACTGATGAATGTTGAAAAAGCTCTAAATCATATCATAGACTCTCCGTCATCAATGCGTTTTTTGCACAATGTTTTTTCTCCCACAACATTTACATCTGATCACTGCTTCACTTTAAGAAATGGGAAGATCTTGACAGCTGTACAAAAAGAAATTTCATGTGCATATAAAACATTTAATATTATACATTTTGTTGTAAGTCTCCACAATGGTCCAACAGCACAAGAGCTGCCAAATTGCCAAGGAAGCCACTTCTATGTAGATCTTTGAATCTTGTAATCCTAGATAAATGACAGCTTCTTTTATTCTGTTCTCTGCAGGCTCTCCGGCTACCCTCCTTTCTTTGAGGAGAACGAGACTCAGCTGTTTTCAAAGATCATGAGGGCTGACTATGCCTTCCATTCACCTTTCTGGGACGACATCTCTGAATCAGGTAAGGAGGAAATATCACAATGTTCAGCTTTCACTGATGTTGCTGCCTTAAATTGTAAGAATCAAAAATGAAAGAATGTGACTTGAGTAAATGGTAAGTAGCCCATGTTAAGGCTTAGCCACTGTTATGTTGCTCTCTTTTTTGGGACTGATATGGGCAACATTCAAATGTCCAATTTGAAGTGTTAGCGCGGATGACGCAATTAATGCGTCATCCGCCGCCGCCGTCATCACTGCCACTTGATTGAAACGGGGGAAGAAAAAAAAATTACGGCAGAGCGTGCCAGCGCTGCATGTGCGCAGTGTTGCCAACTCAGCGACTTTGTCGCTATATTTAGCGACTTTTCAGACCCCTCCAGCGACTATTTTAAAAAAAAAGCTACTAGCGACAAATCTGGCGACTTTTTACGGTGTCACTGGCGGCTTTTGGAGACTCTTACGTGAAAGCATGTATCGTTCCTACTCTGCCGTGGGGCGCCTCCCCCATCCCAACCCCGTTCTCCCTGTTCCACAGGAGTCCTTCTCAGTGCTGCAGTCAGAGCCCTCATCGTCCAGACTGCAAATGAAGCGCGC